TATGTATGTATTTATGACTCACACATTTATATGTATAATACATATACACACAAGCATACACATATACACATGTTTTACTAATCATGTGTTACTATTGATTATGGCTCAAGCATTATATGTTTACCAACAATTCCCAGTGATTCTGACTCACATCCATACTTGACATTGCCACTTTTTTTTTTTGTCGGTCATGGGGCTTGAACTCTGGGCCTGGGCGCTGTCCCTCAGCTCTTCAGCTCAAGGCCAGTACTCTACCACTTGAGCCTCAGCGCCACTTCCTCACATCCATACTTGATAATCACTGTGGTAGAGTCTCCTCTGTCTGCTTCCTACCATGTATTTTACTTTTTCCCTTTTTTCTCTCCCTTCCTTTATTTTTCCTTCCTTCTTTCCTTCCTGTCTCCCTTCCTTCTTTCTTTCTTTTTTTCCCCCCCCAGTCTTTGAAGTTAGGGATTGGGTGCTGTCCATAAGCTTTTTGGTCTCAAGACTAGTATACCACCAGTTGAGCCACAATTTCACTTTTGGCTTTTAGTTAATTGGAGATGAGTCTCACAGACTTTCCTGGCTTCAAACCACAACGCTTAGATCTCAGCCTCCTGAGTAGCTAAGATTACAGGCGTACGCCCCCAATGTCCAGATATATTTGTTAATTTCTGTACACTGCTTGTCTGTTTTTCATGGTAAACAGATTTACATGAGAACAACTAGGTAATACTTTTGCCTTAATATTTCCATTTCCATCATAAAAGTTTTCATTTTTCACAAAGAGAAAGGGAAAAGAATGTTTACTAGTTTGTTTTTTTTCAGATCTGGAATCAATGTGTGAAAGCAAGTTGTTGTCTCTAAAGAAGGAAGTTTATGAAATAGAATCATATCAGAGGGAGATAATGGGACTTACTAAGTATGGACTGGAATACTCCCCTTTTAGAGATGTTTTGGAATATAGAAGCAACTTGACAAGACAGTTGGGATATCAAGATGGACATTTAAGCCAAGAAATATTCACTCATGGATACACGCCCTCATTTATCCTACATCCAATAAGTAACAATGAAGAGAAACCTTATCAGTGTAAGAAATGTGGAAAGGCCTTTAGTCAGAACTCACAATTCATTCAACATCAAAGACTTCATATTGGTGAAAAGGCTTATGAATGTAAGGAATGTGGGAAATTCTTTAGTTGTGGCTCACACGTCACTCGCCATCTGAAAATTCACAGTGGAGAAAAACCCTTTAAATGTAAAGAATGTGGAAAAACCTTCAGTTGTAGCTCATACCTTTCTCAACACCAGAGAATTCACACGGGTAAGAAACCCTATGAATGTAAGGAATGTGGGAAAGCCTTTAGTTACTGCTCAAATCTGATTGATCATCAGCGAATTCACACTGGTGAAAAGCCCTATGGGTGTAAAGTATGTGGGAAAGCCTTCACTAAGAGCTCCCAGCTTTTTCAGCATGTGCGAATTCATACAGGAGAGAAGCCCTATGAATGTAAGCAGTGTGGCAAGGCTTTTACTCAGAGCTCAAAGCTTGTCCAACATCAGAGAATCCACACTGGGGAGAAGCCCTATGAGTGCAAGGAGTGTGGGAAAGCCTTCAGCAGTGGCTCTGCGCTGACTAATCACCAGAGGATCCACACTGGAGAGAAACCATACAATTGTAAAGAATGTGGGAAAGCCTTTACTCAGAGCTCACAACTTCGTCAGCATCAAAAAATTCATGCTGGCGAAAAGCCCTTTGAATGTCTTAAATGTGGGAAAGCCTTTACTCATAACTCACAACTTTATCAACATCAGAGAATCCACACAGAGGAAAAGCCTTTTGTATGTCATGAATGTGGAAAGGCCTTTAATAAATGCTCAAACCTTACTCGCCATCAGAGAATTCATGCTGATGAGAAGGCTTGTGAGTGTAAGCAATGAGGAAAAGAATTTAATAATGATTCTGATCTCACGGATCATAAGGGAACTCATACTAATGAGTAACACAAATTAGAGATTGTCCTCTTCATCTTTTTCTTTTTTTTAAAGCCAATCCTAAGCCTGGGTACTTTCCCTGAGCATTCTTGTAGAAGGTTAGTGCTCTACCACTGGAGCCACAGCTCTACTTCCAGCTTTTTGGTAGTTAAGTGGAGATAAGAGTCTCACAGAAGCCGGGCGCTGGTGGCTCATGCCATAATCCTAGCTACTCAGGAGGCTGAGATCTGAGGATCACGGTTCAAAGCCAGCCCGGGCAGGAGAGACCGTGAGACTCCT